CCCCCAAAAATGTGGATGATCAAGATGTTTTTGGCAAATGTAAGACGAGCCTTTGTATCTCTTTTGGTCAGCAGTGTTTTTTGTCTTGAACTCTCCCATGGCTGCAATTGTTGCCCAGTCTCTTTCTTATTGATGAATCATGAACTCTGACTTTAAGCGAGACATGTAGAAGCTTGATGTTGTTCTGGGTTCTTTTTTGACCTCCTGGATAAGTTGTCGATGTGCTCTTGGAGTAATTTTGGTCGGCCGGTCATTCCTCGGAAGCTTCATCACTGTTCCAAGTTTTTCCATTTATGTATAATCAGGGCTGGACTGGGCAAAAAATCGGCCCGGGCATTTTGACTAGAGACCGGCCCACCAGGTATTATAGGAAAAACCATAAATCCTTTGAATGCAAACAAACGTCGTTGTAACAGTGATGTACACTGTCTTGTTGGTATATATTTATCAGTCTAATAAACTTAAACCTACACCATCCTCCCTATTCTGGTATTCTAAACAGTACCCGAAAGTAGACTGCTTGGTCGAGTTAACCTCCTGAACTATCTACAACACAAGGTGAAAACCTGAAATTAAGACAGAGAAGACTAGAGGTGAGACATGACCATTACTGATTACTTATGACAGATTTAGATATATTTTCATAAACTATTCATTTACCACATCAATAAACAGCATGGCAGAGCAAAATATTTTTTCTAACATGGCAACCTTTAAAAAGTGAAAGGAGACAGAAAGACAGGTGAGAAAGAATAAAACTTAATTGACTTTTTGATGGCATTTTACACACAGTACTGGTACAGTATCTAGAAAATGTGGGAAAATACTGGCATCATATACAGTACTTAGCTACTTCTGAAGAAATTATGATGAGACCCTAAAAAAATTACTATGTACAATAATGGATTTCTATACCTTTTACATCAGATGAAAACGTTTGTTGTAAGATTCAGATAATTATTTATTCAAAGTTTTTAAATGACATAAGAAAGAAAAGTATTTCTTTGTGCCCCCTTTCCCTTTTAATGCCCTACCTGCCCCCCTGGCAAAACTTTGCTAGACCCGCCCCTGCACAGTTACCAGCTGTCAGCTACAAAAAAAGGATCCTGGTGTTTTGTCTCTCAGAAACAGTTCATAACTTCCCTTCAACTCATTCATGTCACCTAAAAGGTAAACCTGTTTCTCCATCACCTGTTCAGCTCTGATAATTCAGTAACGACATCTCCTGGTTTCATCTTCATGTTTCCCTCTCACCAGATAACCAAACCGATATCATGACCAGCAGGTTTACAGCTGTGGCTCCAGCAAACATCAACTGATACTATAAATTAATATTAAATAAATTTTTACAACAGCTGATCAAGTTTAAACGTGCTGCTGTTGTTTAATCCGCTGGTTATCGCAAAGTGGGCGATAAACAAACAAGAGAGAAAAGCCGATTAGCTGATCATTGATCAGTTTCATGATTGAAGTAGAAACAGGAGAGGGAGGGGAGAGAATGACAGGAGAAGAGGCAGCTGTGCAGCAAAGACACAGAATAAATCCAGCTTTGTGTCTTTTTCAAACTGTGTTCCTTTTCACCTCAAAACGAAACGCGCAATATTTTCTCTGAATACGAGACGATTCCGTTTTTTTACGGGACGGTTGGAAACTAATAACTAACCTTATAAATAGAATAAGATAAAACAAGTTCAACATCAATAAAATCATAGCACCTGCCCAGCTGTATATAAACTCCGTCATGCTAGCTAGTACGCAGTACGAGTTGTTGTAACTGACTGTAAAAAGTCAGCATAACGAAAATAAACTCCACCTAAACTTGGTTTATATCTGACCCAGATAGCCTGCAGGTCATAACTTCTTACCTGAAGTTCAGTTCACATATCATACTGATATGAATCATAGTATATTATGGAATTCCAAAAATGGCTGCCAGGACAGCTGCCACCACACTGATGTGACACACTACAAATCAACTCTTTGATGCTCAGTGCTGAGTCTGCACAATAACCTGCA